TGCAGAGTCCAATACTTTGCATTCACTATAATGTGGATTTAGGGTTTAGGGTTGATAGATAGGTAAATAGATGATAGATAGATCGATAGATAGATAGATAGATAGATAGACAGATAGATAGATAGATAGATAGATAGGTAGATAGATAGATCCTGAGGAAACTTGAAGTAAAGTGACGCCGCTAACCAACACTCTAGCATAATGGGTGGGCACAAAGCCTGTTTTGAGTAGGCATGATCTGAGAAGCAATTACACTGTTCACAACGTAAAGGCGCATTATGTCCATGAGCCTAAGAGCGCCGAACATGACAGAGTCCATTGCAGGAGCGCATCTTGGACTACGTACCTGAGAAGTCATTCTTCGCCCCTTATCTCTGATTGGATGATGGAAGGCCCCAAAAGGATTGGATTCTGGTAAGCATGCCACCCCCACTGGGGTTTGGTGTTTCGGTGTTTCGAGTTGGGGGGGGTTCGGCGCATGGGCTTTGGCTGGTGAGCAGAAGCTCTGCTTGCATCATGCAGTGGGGATTAGTGGTCAGATGCGTGAGAGTATGGGCTGTTTTGGTCGCCATTCGGGCTATAGGGCAGGGCGTAGGGTGAGGGAATCAGGATTCAGCTTTCATATTTAGGGCTAGGGCCGGAGCCGAAGAGCCATCAGGGTGCCATGAGAGCCAATATTCAATGAGGAGCCTGAACCCCTAAAACCCTAAAGCCCTCCAAAAATTCCAAAACTAAACCACTGCTGAGGCGATGAACGACTCAATGAAGTCGTTTCAGTATAAGAACTACCAGTTCGGTCCCATGCAGGCGCGCCTGTAGGCTTCTGAGTTTCTTTCGGGTGGATGGTCATCCTTGTTCGGAGTCTAGGGTTTATAGGCATTCGTGTTTGGGGTATAGGATGCCGGGTACTGCTCTGCACGCGAAACCTAAGACCCCAAGCCTTCAAGCATACATGAAACGTCTGCAAAACACGTCTTGATTACAAAGCTAATCTAGAAGAGCTACAATCCCGTGAATAAAGCTTATGATTTCCTATCGAGCAATCACACATACAGAAGCCTTGCGACCCACTGACAGTGAAAGGAGGAGGAGTACCACCAGCACATCCGGAAGCATCGTTTCGGAGACACCCGGAAGAGCTTTGGACTCTTTCAGCAGGTTTGGGGGCTTCATGGGGCTTCATCAGGTTTGTGTTTCATAATACGGCATGAAGGGGTGTTAGTGGAGATTGATTTTTTTTGATTAGGGTTTCAATGGGCTTCCGAGCGGCTTCCGGGTGTGCAAGCAGCATTTGCTGTTGTTTTGTGAGGTTCAGTCGGGTTTTCGTTTTCATTGGCCTAAAGCATATTGGACGAGTGGCAACTTTAAGTTGGATTTATAATGTCTGTAGAGCTTAGGTTGTTTTGCTTTTTCTTCGCCAGTCCGTAGGTATAAAGGGAGGGTTCTATAAGAGCTCATATAGTCATATACGTCTTTGGGCGTGGGGGTATTGGTGTCTTCCTTCAGGTTGGTCTATGTTCTTCAAGCTTGCTAAAGGGGGCCTGGGTTTGGAGGGATTCGGTGCTTGCCTTTTTGGACCTTGTGCCCGTAGCCTGCAAAGCCCCATCCTGGGACGATACTGATACTCTCTGTGTAGAGCTTCGGAAGGATTCGTAGAACATGCGAATGATTATCCGTGCTAATGCGATGCTAGGTTCCAGCTTCGTTGCGGGCTTCAAAAGCGAACAATGAGCCTCTAACATAGAATTGCGGGAAAGCCCGGAGACTTGGTTAACGGCCCCTTATTCAGTGGTCCCTTAACGACCAGTTAGTTCTTGCCGAAGGAGGCAACGAACTCTTGTCGAAATCGGTCATGCAACCTTCAACCCGACGAATGAAGGACTACTCCTTGAAGCCTTCAAGTCAGTCCTCGCTTTTTGAGACTCGAAGTCTTAGGGGCAAAGCTCAGGAAAGGCGGCTTCGACTGCCTGCGTCACTATGAGCTGCCTCTTGGGCCGAAGAGCTCCAAAGATGGGATGAGGGCAGGTCTTTCAGAAGCGCCGTTTTGCAAGGCTTTATGACTTTATGAGGGGTTCATGGGGTTGTCGAAGCGGTCGAAGGTTGAAGGCTATAGGTAGGTGCGGGGGAACCTCCAAACAAGGGTCCTTCACCTTTGGGAACCCTTGGCTGGGCCAGCAGGAGTTCTTTGCATTTTTGGTGTAAGGTTTTAAAGTTTATCTGGGGATTGTCTTGTTGGGTTATGGCACGGGGCTGAGCATCTAGGATCAAAGTCCAGGCTCCGGACTACAGGAGCTAGGCTTCGGGATTTACTTGTTCACGCTTTCAACGTGTCAGGGTCCAGGGAAAGCGTTTTTTTGTCGAGAAGGGTGGTTAGAGCTTAGGACCGTCTGGGGTTTGGGGTTTATAGGGGATCTCCTCAAAGTTAAGACTGTCTTCTCAGGGCTCTGTCTTGAGCGAAAGGAGCGCCTGTGTGTGTCTTCACGCCGAAAGGGCTTTCAAAGTCAAGAAGACAAGGCTTTTGCAGCACAAGGCTGGGATTACGGATCTTGATCTTCGGCCCTGTCAGAATCAGCAGGATAGCTTCAGGTGGGCGGGTGCTCTCTTCGAACCAGTTTTTAGACTGAAAGGAGCTCCACCCTATAGCACCTAGAATCGAAAGCCCGAAGGCCGAAACTTCTAGACTACACCCCCCAAGCCGGGTTTTGGGTCCGGACGCCCCAACCCAGGTTAGCCAATGGCTGCATACCAATTTTCCACGACTTGGCTGCCCAGCGGCAGATGGCTGCTAAGGGGTTTTCGTGTCGTGTTTTATGTGGGTTCCTCCTGGCTTTCTACAGGGGTCAGGGTTTCGATTTTAGGCTTTACGGCAGGGTTGGTGTCCAGAGTTGCGGGTGTCGAGTGTTATGGTTTGAGAGGGGAAGGGGTTGACGATGTTTGATCATGAAAAGGACTGCTATATTCGTTGCCGTTTAACCTTCACACCTGCATTCCAAACCTCCAGCTCCTTTGACAACAGCCTCAACCCTCTATGCGTACACCTGAGACCATAGATCCAATACCAGACGTCTTCCCCAACTTTACATGTAGTTGAAGTCTGAGTCTTACGGCTTCTCCGTTTTGAACACTCTAGGATACTCCAGGTCAAGATGGTGGTTTGTGTTTAGAGCTTCTGAGTTCGTGTAGCATGCTCCGGGAGCAGGATCCTGCAGGCAGGGGGTGTGCTACTCTGAGTGAGGCTTCTTTCTCTTCCAACCTTCAGTCCAAACTCGAGACCCAAAGCAAAATCACTGCTAGAGAGCCCATCGCTTTTATTACTCGAATGGCTCTTCGTGCCGGGTTTATCAAGTTGGGGCAAAGCTGGGTGCCAGCTTTCCACCTGGACCTTTTATCCTGTCAGGAGCACCTGCCACGGAGCTTGCTCCGCCCATTGCCCAAGAGCCTCCTGATGGACGCGAAGGCGTGGCTCTACAGTCAACGACGGTGCTTTGAAGCGTAGGGACTGAGAAAATAGCCTTTAACCTTTGGGGTATAATCCTAGCAAGAGCCCGAGACCTTAAAGACCTAAACCCTTTATCAGCAAGTTTTTCCGTGCATAAAGAAACTTAGTAGTTTCAATAGCAAAGTAAGGATAGTCTTAACCATTGTTGCCATTCACTATCTTGAACTTATTCTTTAGTTGGTTCTAGCGGCTTGGTGTAAACTCTCTGCTAGTCGAGGCTCGACTGAAGTCTCCGTGCGTCCAGATGATGAGCTTCGGCTCAAAGTCGCCAATATGATGTGTAGCATAGCCATATGCCAGTCTACGCACCATGCTAAACCCGTGGTTATACTCCTCCACGCAGGTTCTGTTCTGGTGACCACTCTATGGCTAGGACCCTACATATCAAGTATCATAAAGGAACGGTCCCAACCCAAACAGGACGTACGTTTGAAGGCTACCTAGACCCTCCATCCACCCTCTATTAGACCCGACTTGTGTGGACCATAATGCAAAAACCATCCCATCCTCGTGTCCTCGACATCACTTGGCCACTCATAGCAAAAACCACGGCAAATGCACTGATCTGGTAAGTTACAATTATTGCCATGGTTACAAACTACCATAACTACAACTGTTCGTACGACTACATTGTCAGAACGAAGCCGTGGGGTCGCTTGCTTGGATGCGTGATGCACCTGGCTTCTACCGCTCGAGCGGGTGTCTTGCCAAGGGGGCCGCAGCGTTTCATGGGGACCAGGATTCTTGCGCCACTCAGGCTGGAGATAATACAGACCAAGGGGCGTCTTGCAGAACGCTTTCTTCATTGATTGTCCTAGCACATGGAGAGGAGCCCATGCGCACGTTCGATTGCGATGTGGACATCGGGGACAGGGAGTCAATGAAGGACAATCCGGACGCCCTCGGGGAGAACTGCATGGGGCGCGGTTTGCCACAGAATCTCTCATGGTCCGGCGAGAGCCGCGCGGACTGCGTTGCCGACTAGAGCAAAATGCCCAACTGGACTTCGACGACGAGATCGCATGCGCAGTCCCGTTGGCGCACACTTTGTTTCGGTTCGATATCTTTGGCACCTATACACCCGAATAAGATGAGCCAGGACCGGCTGTTGAAGCTATCGCAGTATTCTAGGAAAACAAGCCCATTCGATGCTTTTGTCTCTCACACTCGTGGTGGACACCAGGGTATCAGAAGTTGATTTCTTCATTACTCTGCTTCTACTGGCACTATGCCGAAGTTGCTGCGATTGCGGCCAGTATGGTGATCATGATCATGTATAAGCTGGACATCTTCGATATCATCGAAGCTCGAACCAGGGCAGGAGAGGAGTGCAAAGTAGGGCAATGAACGACTATATCTTCTACGAGTTTGCATGCATTCACCAAACGGATCCGGTGATGCGCGGACGAGTTATACATATATATATATATATGTATATATATATATATATATATACATATATATATATAGATATAGATATAGATATATATATATATATATTGTATATATATATATATATATATATGGTATCGACGGCTACCTGACCATTTCCAAAGACTCTGATGGTTGAGCGTGACTTCTGCGTACTCTGGATGTGCAATTACGTGGTCTCCTGCATAGTCCAGTCTTGAACACCGGCTCAGCCACGCGGGTGTTCCTCATCTCAGGGGTTGTTGGTTGTTTTGCACTCATTCCCGGCGTCCATGCAATTCGGAGAGGCTTCCAAGAGCAAGAGCGCAGCCTTCAGGACATGGCAAACTTTGACCTTGAGCTCGCTTCGTGTTGCAGTGATTTCGACAAGCAATTTAATGTCGCGGCGGTGAGCCAGTGGTATGGAAACACACAAGATGTTCGCGGGCCTTTGCAGGAAGAACTGGTGCAAGTGGTCGCCGAGCCCAGGTCGGCTCCCATGTCCTACAGTTCGTCGGAATATGTATATATATATATACATGTATATATATATATATATATTATATATATATATATAGTCTCTCTAAAATTGCCGGAACTCCAGCGGATGTTTTGGGGCTCTCTGGCTCGCCGGCGCTCCCGGCGAGATGATGTTGGCCCACGTGCTAGGACAGGGGCTGTCGTCCTTCTTGCTTAACACGGTCCAACTGAAAGTCCTGTTCATCCTCACGGGGCACTATGCTCAGCCCAGATTTGCAAGCCGCACCATGGACTACATGCAGACTGTTGGAATACTGATTGCTGTTTCGTTCCTGAGAACTTCCTGGTACTACACTTCCGGAGTTCCTGGCGCTGTGGCATTCCTTGTCGTCATAGTGATCATATTCATTACCACTTTCTTCCGGGACGTAGAGCAGCCATTGGACCAGCTTTGCAGAGGTGTTTTGGGACGGGGCCTTGAAGGCCAAAGCCCTTAAGTGACCGAACTAGCGCGTTTGTGCTTCAGGCAAGACCCTGAAAATTTGGAGCCTGGGATGCTGGACCGATGCTGCGTCTGTTGTCTGAAAGGCAAATGCGCCAGTTCGGTCACGGGAAGAGTCTCACGATCTTTCTGCCCGAGATAATCTGAAGGTTGGCGCGATCTGCTGGTACAGGTCTGTGCTGTTGGTCTGATTGCTGGTGGTTTCGCTTAATTATCGTCTTTGTAGTGCTATGTTTGATGTGCTTCTTGCCACAGCTGGGCGGGAAGGAAGTTGTGCGAGCTGATCGCAGAGTGAGAGACTCGCCCTTGCACCGCTGTAGGTCTGTTTGCGTGAAACGAAACACCTGCATTCTGAAGTTTCATTGGCGCTACGGCATGCACATGTGCAGTTGCTTTCAGAGAATTACTGTCGACGGCTTTATGCATACCACTTCCGAGGCGCTCTTCGCCTTACCCTGGGAGGCCGTGCGTGGGCAAAGGAAGATTTTTCTTAGGCACAGGTTTAAGGTTCAGGATCAGGTTTGGGCTTCAGGATCTGAGCTCGATTTGGTGGTCAGGGCTAGGGCACCTCGCGCAAAATATCCTGATGTCGGAGCTCTGGGAAGCTTGCACCACCTCTTCACCGCAGTGCATTGAATAGTCAGGTGCTAGTGTAAGTAGGGTTTAGGGTTTGGGATTAGGGTTTCCGGTGGGTTTTTTCGGTTCAGGGTTGAGTACAGCTTTATCCACTCACCGAATCTCAGCCCCAAACCCTGACGGCTAAAGCCTGAAAAACTCAGAGCACTGACCCTTTGAACCTAAACCTTACATCATAACACGCCAAAGTTTGCCCCAAAACTTTACACCCTAAATCCCGAAAGCCCTATACCCAGAACCCGAACAACTTCAACCTGAATTCCCAAGTTGGCAGGCTTAATTATTAAGTCAGTTAAGCAGCTTTCTAAAGACGTCTTACAGCACAAGTTTGAGAACTAATCCGAACACAGCATCCGTCAAGGAAGCCGCCAGCCGCTACAAGTGGGTTGTTGCATGGTCATATGTGAGGGTTTTTAGTCCCTACGAAAGGCTCAACAAACTGTACAGATCTCACGGCCCGAAGCCCTTATGGAACACTTACAGAATCGTAGATAATGCAGGAACCTGATTAAGAAACCCTGGCTCGTTATTAGGGTTCTTAATCTGAAACCGAATATATTGGGGGTATAGGGCCAAGGTTTCATAAAACCCTAAACCCTAAACCCTAAACCCTAAACATTAGGAGAAACAGCCCTTAGAGCTCGGACCTCCCTAGGACCCCTTGCCCAGGACACCGAAGCTGGGCCGGGGCATTGCCCATCCAAGCCCGGTGCTGCAGAGGCACTTCGGGGGATTTGGGGGTTAGGGCTTCTAGGGTTTAGGGTTTCGGTGCGTTTTAGTGGTTAGTGGTTTTGTAGGGTTTCGGGGGGTTTGGGGGTTTAGGGTTTCGGGGCGTTTTAGTGGTTAGGGTTTGGTAGGGTTTCGGGGAGTTTTAGGTTTAGGGGTTTTGTTGCCTCAAGTTGTGGGGGGTGCCAGGTAGCTTTATGCAACATCATAGAAGATAGGACAGAGTATGGTGTAATTTCTGCATTGGGTTCAGGCCCCGGATGTCTTGGTGTGGTTTGGTTTGGGCGGGGCTTTGGGGTTGTAAAGTTGAGGGCTGCAGAGTTTAGCAGATCTCCTTCCAGCTCTTTTGGGGAGAACCCCTGAGCTTGAAGCCCCTGAACAACCTACCTAAACAAATCCTAGAAGTCTTCTCCTTCTTTGCAGCCAGACTATAGTCAAAACCCTGTTCGGGTCTTTCAGATCCGTGCAAACAGGGTTCCCTGCCACGGGCTCGGGGGGGTGAAGGCTTCCTTAAATTCCCTCAATTCGGTATCGCAATTCAACGGTTAGGAGAGTTATTTCAAGAACATCTTATGAAAGAATGTCGACCGTTGAGGAATAGGATTTAACCCGCTTCCTTTAACAAGAGCCCTATCACTGATCCTCACTTCAAGGCCCTTGAATCAGGGATTGGTTGCCCAGCGGCTTACATTGAGGGAAGCCCCACCTGGCTCGTAGCCCGATGAAACGGCGGGTGAAAGAGTTCAGAGCGGCGTTTCACAACCTCGCAACTTTTCATGCTAAGAGCGCTGCTGCGTTTTGCTGGCTCCAAAGTCAGTTTTCCTCGATCAGAAACAGTTGGGATCAACCCCGAGCCCAAGCTGTGCGAGCTTGATCTGGACCACGATCGAGTCATTTTGGGAGCGAAACAACACACGCGACACACCGGAAAGACAGCAAACAACAAGAATCGCTCCCTCTATACCCGCTATACGAAATCCTATCAGCTCCTTGCACCTAGTCAGGCCTTCATGATGAAGCCTTCGGTTCGTACTTCTCACGAAGAATTGCAAAGGCTAAACAATACAGACATGCGATGCCCCTCCAAACCTTTTTTATCAAGATTGAAGAACAGCTTCGTCAAACCCTCAACCCTACATAAACCCACATTCCGAAGCATTAAAACCTTCTCAAAAGTCCCAAACGCAAAATAAACCGTCATAGGAAGCCCGACGCCCTGAGTAGACCCTTATCGAAAGCACTTAAACTAAGCCTCAAAATCGATCGTCAAACTATGAAGCATGGGCCAATGAACATAAACTTGATTGCAAGTAGATCCCTGTTCAAAGAGAGCTGTAGAAGAGGACCTGGCGCAGAGTTTGCTTCGCTGGACAAGCGACCCTTGGACTGCCGGTGCTTTCTTGGGCGGGCGGGGGATTCGGGGTCTAGAGTGAGGAGTTACTTATTTAGGCTTTATAGGTATTCAGGGTTTAAATTACTGTGTTCGGGAGTTAGGACGTTTGTTTGGTTTTGAGGATGCAGAGTTGAAGGTTTGGGTTCTGTGCTTGGGGCGTCGAGGCGTGCTAGTTTCGGGTTTAAGGTTGTAGGGTCTCAGGCGCTGGGTTGTGGCTGCTTGCGTCTACGCCTTTTTGTTGCGTTAACGGTGTACTATTTTAGGATTTAGTCTGTCTAAGTTGCTCCAGGCTCGGAGGATTGAGGAAATGGAGGGATGTTAGATGATGGTGTAGGCTGACACTCGAACCTGCTGTAAACTCGTACCAAACAGCAAAAAGCCAGCTTGTATTTCAAGGGGCTTACAGGGGGATGATACATGGGCATGATGATACTTGTCGATTGTAAAACTGTCCCGAGCTTCAGTGAAATGGACTTCCAGTATTCATTTTGCAAAACATTGCGGAGAGCTTAGAGTTTTACTAAACGCACTGGGGAGGGAATACTTTGCCCCCACTAAACATATAGGGTATCAGCACTTTCCCCCATATGTTTTTTAGAAACATCCCTCGTGTTCCGCAGTTTTTTTGCCGCTCACCAGGAGCGGCTGAGCACTGAGCACGTGGCCAGGCCGGTCAATGTCGGTCACTTCATTAGCTCAGTTAGGATTTTACCGTTTTACCCTTAGTGTCCAGGCACCGATGCCCTATGTATGTGAGTGAGCTTACCCCGGTGTATATATCATGGTATGTGTATATATATATATATACACATACGCATACAGGTGGACTGGGGTTGCG